CTCGAAACTCTAATATGGAAGTGAAGAGAGAAAATAAAAAATGAGGGGCATGCCCCTTAGAGAGAGAGAAAGAAACTTTAAATTGTATGTAAATGATTGAGTAGGTATTTATAGCAATGATTGTAGAGATCCTTTAGATGTGCTGTAATCTTAGCCATTGAAGTTCAATATCCATGGCTGAAAAGAGAGGCTTGAACCTAGCCCACCATCCACCATCGTGTTATCTTGATGTGCAGTATGGATTCCCCTATGGCCCCACAAGGACTCCCATTGGCTATTTTGGTATCCTCGTGTGGCTCCCCGAGGACTTGTCCTTAATCATCCTTTTGTAAAAGTAATTTTGAAAAATAATTTTTCCTGTTTGAAAAAATTTAGAAAAAATCTTTGAAAATTCTTCAAAAACTTTTTAAATATTTTCCTTCAAAATAAACCATTTTCACAATGTTCAAAAACATTTTCAAGGGAAATTAGGATCATATGGAGTTGAATTAGGAATCAGAGTACTCCACTTGGCTGGACCCAGAATCCAATGCCGCCTTCTTGGTTTGCCATTGTGCACAATCAGGGTTCATGATATAGCCTACCAAAGTCAAACCAATGAATGACCTTAAAATCCCAAGTGCTGGCGGATTTTAGGTGCACCTCCAAGAAGACATGAATACACAAGGTGCGAGGCTTACTCTCTTCACACATGTGCATACCTCTTCTCAGTGGATCCTTGAAAGAGTCGTCTTTCCCATGTTATGCGATTGTTTAGGCACATACTATAAGAAGGTTCTAAGAGTCAGGGATTTAGGCCACTGCCCTCTGTTGGCCCTAACCTTCCCATACAGGGCTAATCATCAAGCTCATCATCGTACACATAAAATCACATCGCCCTAGTGCATTCATCCAGTCATGAAGTCCAATCTAGCTCAATAACAATAACAATAACCGACCCTAACTAGAGACAACCCTGAAACCTCTCGGTGCCTCTCATATATACACTAATCCTCCACATGACTGTCCCAGGGCTTCCATAAATCTTGGTCCCAGTGTGCCAAAATCCTAGAGTCACGTCACTCTTTTCACTCCCGCTGTGATCAAGAGCTAAGCATGTCAATGTTACAAGGTCTTGAAAGACCATAACTCCAACAATCTCCCACTTGGCCTTTTGTGGCCGCCATAATCACATGAAGCATCATAATGCAAATCGATCCATATTGTGCAATAACAATCATGGCGATTCAATCGAACCATAAGGATCCACAATGGCCATACTGGTCCAACAATCATAACGATTCATAACGACCATGCCCATCATATATTAGCATATCACATAAGATCCACGTTGTGCCATATTCATCACATAAAACAAACCATGAAGAGTTCGTATATCATCTTTCCACATCATACTCATGCCAATGCTTTGTATGATAACCATGCACATGTAATGCCTCATCATGAAAGTCACATTCTCCTCAAATCTATATGATGCACATATCCATCATTCCTTTTTGGTCTCAATCTCACATATTCTCATGCCTCTCTATCTTTTCTTAAGCAAACTTTCATACACATGCACATGTCTATATGAGCAATCATGTTTATCTTCACAAACCCAAAAATTCTCATATAAGAATACATATGCTCATGATATCATGCTCATGCCCAGTGTCCAAGCATCACATGCTTGTACTCTTATAAATGTTCACACAAATGCATATGCAAATGCCCATTCTCATATTCTCTTTCTCAAGTATTGTTCTCAAACCTCCCTTAGTCATGGACCGGTACTAAAACAAGACCTTGTCCATTTAAGACTAAGTGTGGGATTTATGCTTGGATTTTCACCTATGGGGCATTGGTTCTTAGGACCATACATTTTTTCTCATAATTCAATTCCTTGAATTTCTCATGAAAAACATACTCGGTTTCCATGGGTAGTAGATGTCATTATGGACCGATTATATCAGTCCTAGCTCCATAATCAAAGAGGTTCACCCGATACAAACCTATAGGAAACCGGCCAACCAAGTACATTTTTTGGAACATCTTAGACAATCAGGTTTTTTATATGTCATTATTGACAGTTTGATTTAAAGTAACCAATTATATCATTTGCCCACCAAAGATATGTCCCATAGATTGTCACTACAATTGTGACTTGCCCACGATATGAGGAGTTCTCATATCACATGGCTATATCATGATCTACACATAAATATGCACCTATATAATGCCTTGCACGCTAATTTAAAAATTCCCAAATAATTCATAAATGCCTCCACTGAGGGGTGTACAAGCTCCATTTTCAGAGACCAATAAAGGCTACCTAGTGGATCGCCTATGTTAAAATAAACAAGAAAAAGTCCATAAGGGCATGAGAAACGAATATTTTGGAGGATTCTATGCATCGGTCCCATATAATCATCCATTGAAAATGAAGAGTCTAACATAGAAATGCCCAACAATTTTCACAAGTGGCAGCTTTTTCAAGTGACTCATGTCTTTCAATGTCGCACAATATTAAAGGAACAAATACTTATAGTGAAGCGAAGAAAATGGCTCAAGGGTTTCATGGAAAGATCAATTCGAAACAAGATGCCAAAAACTCTATTTGTCTCTATCAGAAAACATTCTCATATAATGCCCTCTTCTAAAAACTCATGTGAAATGGGTTGAGATAAATGTTTCCAAATTCGAGACCAAGTTTTCCCTCTTCAAAATAGTTTCACCATTTGACTCATCATAAATACTCCCACTCAAATTAACAAGGTTGTTTATCCAAAAGTCTTAGGAAAATGATTTTTGAAATACAAACTCTTTTAATCCATCTTTTAAAACACTTTAAATAACTTAAAGAAAATTGTTTTAGTTTTCCCTCAACTGCACTAACTTATGACTCACATAGTCATGGCATAATGCCAAAGAAGCCCCTTCGAGGGTCTATCCATGATAACAATGATGTGGAGTATATCTTAGTCATTGCCCTTGTTGAAAAACAACACAATGGGAAAAATAAACTCAATAGGGCTCGATCCTTTTCCTTTGATTTCTCATATTTTCTTGTGCTCATACACTTGAGATTAAGAGAGTTTTGTTTATAAAAATAAAATTTTCAAAACACTGATCTTTCCACCATTGGTCTCAATTATTTCAAATCCATTTCGTATAAATGTTGCCACCTTTCCAAATGGTAAAACCATGCAACGTTTATGGAAAAATTCTTTCTCGTGCATAAAACCTTTCTATAACCCATGAGCCTTATATGCCATAAATCACCACAATCCTCAAAAAATCTAACAAATACCTATGCAATGTGTCGGGACCTTAGCATCACAAACTCTCCACAATGATAGAACACAAACCCTTGACTTCATTATCTTGGCATCCTATAAAGCAAAAAAGAATAAGATGAAGCACAAATCACCATAAGGACTATCAATTGCATGACACAAACAATACATTTGGAATCCATCTCATAAGCTCTCATGTCAGAAATAGCCCATATAAAAGAACCATTCCACATTCCACACATAATTCACATGGTTAGTACATTTGCTATTTACTTGAATTGCGCATATTCAATGCTTTAGTACATGAATAACAGATCTTGAATCAAGACACCCATCCCTTGTGTCATCTTCTCATACAAAGAGAGTACACAAGTTCTTAAATATCACATTATGGGCGCATTGGCCTTTTCAAATTTATAGCTTATGTCACTAGTCCTTCCTTTCCAAGTAAAAATCACCATACATAAGGTCAAGATAATCAACCAAGCATTAACCATAAGAAAACATTGAGTCAAGTTTGTTTATAGTAAAAGAATGAATCCTGAAAATAGTAAAATCATGCATAGTAAGGTCAGAAATTGTACGTTGCCGTTTTTTAGCGACCATCTTGTGGAGTGCAGAGCTTTTGCTCTTGGTCCATGATTTTCTTTCATTTTGTCTTTCCTAATTCATAATTGTGCTCATGCTCCAATCCATCTTTATGTGTCTTTGGCCTTGTTGAGAACATCATCGAACACTTTCCGGATGTAACTCGGATTTTAACCAAGACTTGGATCTCGGGTATCAAAATTTGTACACGTGATACAGTGGAGTCTCATGACGACTAACGACTAATGCTCCATAGTTAGATTGTACTAGATTCTATGATACCCTTATCCACTTACACTTAGGATGTCACTTCCTCAGTTTTCTGATTTTCTAGGTTGAGCACCATTTAATCCTAGGTTCATAACTTAAGGACTACCCAACATTTACTCATATGATTTTTTCCTACTTAAAGTAGACTAAAAATGGGGCAAATAATGTTTAGGGTTCAATACAAATTCCTAACCGAAAGGACACAAACAACTTGTAACTCAGAGGTTTAATTTTAGTATTGTGTAACAAAATTACAAGTTGATATAACTCTGATAGAATAGCCATATCTTTAAAAATATGAGGTATTTTATGATAAAATAGTCATATTTTTATATGAAACTAGACATAAGTCCACAAAAGAACAACATATCCCAAACCCAAGATTATATGTTTTGATAGCTCAAAAACTCCATGCACAAAATTGCAAAGTTCCTAAAAAATCTGTACACGAATCTGGCACACTTCCTAAATCAAAAATTGAGCCAATTAAAAACCGTGGGAAAAGAATGGGGCAAAATGAAGTACAAATCACTCTCAATTTAGTGAGAAATTCAATATCATGAGCATGAAAATTATGACATAAATTTTCCTTTCAAACTCTCAAGAAAATACGCAACTAGAGAGCGAATCAATTGGCTAATTTAGGTCAAAATTTGCAGGAAAAATCTCTTCAAGAAATTAAACATCAATGGAGCTAGGGTTTTCTCTAAACTTGAGATCAAGCTCTATGGTGCTTCAATGAAGGTTTCTCTCACTAGATCTTCACATCTCTTTTATTTTCTCTCACTAAGATGTTTCTCTCATGAATAAAAGGAAGAAGAAAACAAGGAGGGGCATGCTACTCTCTCACTAGATCTTCACACCTTCCTTTACTCGCTTTCTCTCCTCATCCATTGTTTCATGAGCCATATTCTTATTCTTAGGCATCTAACCTCCAATGTTGGCGTATAGCTATGAATGGGGAAATTGCAGTTTTAGAGGCAAATCACATTTGGGATTTTATCCCATTGCCCATAGAAAAGCATGCCATTGGTAGTAAATGAGTTTATTGAGTCAAGTATCGAGCTGATGGCACTCTTGATCGGCACAAGGCCCGATTAATTTCTCAGGGTTATGTTCAGGAGCATGGTGTCGATTATGAAGAAACTTTTGCTCCAGTTGCTAAGATGACAGCTATTCGTACTTTTATTGCACTCGCTTTTATTCGTTAGTGGATATATGGCAGATGGATGTCAACAATGCATTCCATAATAGCGAACTTCAAGAGGAAGTTTACATGCGTCAACCACCTGGGTTTATTTATCAAGATAAGTTATTAGTTTGTCGACTTCGTAAAGCACTTTACTGTCTCATAAAATCTCCCCATGTGTGGTTTGAGCGTTTTCGGGCTGTCATTCGTTCACATGGCTTCACTCAAAGTAAACATGATGACTCCATGTTTATTCGTCCCACAATGCATGGAATTTGCATTATTTTATTATATATTGATGATAGTCTTATCTCTAGCAATGATTGCACTACCATCAAGGATGTGAAGCTACGATTGCAAGAAGAATTTCAAATGAAAGATCTTGGGGAAGTATCTTATTTTCTTGGCCTTGAGAACCTCTTCTTGAGCCTACGATGTATGCAAACTTGTCAGCTCCCTCATCTATCTTATTATAACTCGCCCAGATATTGCATATGTTGTCCATGTTGGGAGCCAATATGTTTCAGATCCTCGATGACTACATCTATTAGCAGTTCGTCAAATTTTACACTATGTGCGAGGTACTTCCAATCGTAGATTATTCTTTGACTCTACATCCTCTTTAGATCTTAGTTCATATGCAGATGCAGATCGGGCAGGTGATCCAGACACTTGCCGTTCTACTACAGGATATTGTGTGTTTCTTAGATCATCATTAATATCATGGAAGAGCACAAAACATGACACTTGTTTGCAAGTTAAGCACTGAAGCTGAGTATCATGCTATATACTCTGTTGCTAGTGAGATTGTTTGGGTTTGTGCTCTTCTCAATGAGTTTTATATCTCTATTTCAAATCCCACATGTTTATATGCAGAAAACCAATGTGCAATTAAGATTGCATCTAATCCAGTTTTTTATGAGTGAACAAAGCATATTAACATAGATTGTCATTATTTTCGTGATCGCTATCTTGATGGTACATTATCTCTCCCTTATGTTTCTTCTACTGTGCAAATGACTTATATTTTCACCAAATTTGTTACTCGGAGCCACAATGATTTTCTAGTGAACAAGCTAATGCTTTCCTCATGTCCGTATCAGCTTGAAGAGGGGCAATAATGTGTATACAAAAATAAGATGTATAATTTTCAGCTGTCCTTTATTTTCATTGTATATTTGTGTAGGGATAATGTGGTCTACACTAAATATGTATTTGTATATAAACCATTTTAGGGTTTCGTTATTTGTTAATGAGAATTGATCAAGATAGTTTCTCTCTCTAGACTGTTCTTGAGCTCTGTATCTTCTCTTAATCTAACAATTCTCGCACTAGAACACAAAAGCATGAGGAGAGAAAGCGAGTAAAGGAAGGGTGGATCCTATAGTTTTTTAAGAGAGAGTGATGAGACATGAGGGCATCCCACACTTTTTTGGGCTTATTCTCTCTTTAGACACTTTAATATGGAAGTGAGAGAATAAAAACTACAAGGGCGTGCCTATTAGAGAGAGAAAGAAACTTTCAATTGTGTAAAACGATAGATTAATGGGGTATTTATAGTGTTAAGTGTAGAGATGATTTATATGTGATGTAATCTTGACCATTGAAGTCCAACATCCGTGGCTATAAAAAGAGGTATGATCTTAGCTTACCATTCACTATCATGCCATCTTGATGCGTAACACCCATATCCTTCATTTTTAATAACCATAATTCACTCCAATTTACCTTGTATGAAATTACCTTTGTTCTTTTCATATAATTGAACTTAAATTTAAGTTGGAGGGTATACCCTTAAGTTAATTTACAAAAATTCCAACAAAAAAATCAAATTTGAAACTTCCCTCCATTTTATAAGAGCACGCGCGGCTAATCAAATCATGTCGCATAAGTTAGGTTGGTAAGTGCACTATTACCACATACCCTTAGGGTTTCTATTTTTAATTTCAAACACTATGCCCCTTCTAGAAGGGTTCACACATGCACAAACCACTTTCCTTGCCAATTTAACATGTGCCAAAATTAAATTTTCAATTTTCAAAATAGCACAAAATCCAATATTACCAAATGCCCCGCATCATAACAAATTACGTAATGACCAAAATGGCCACCATGGGGAATGACATCATCTTGACATCATCACCATGTGGGGCTGATGTGGAGGCTCCCAAGGCACCACATGGGTACCCATTGGCCATTGGGTGTCCGGTGTGGGTCAGTGGGGGTCTATCCTAAATTGTTCTTTTGTAAAAGTAATTTTACATATCACTTTTTCTAATTCAAAAAAATCCAGAAAAATCACCAAAAATCCTTTTAATCATCTTCAATCAAAATAAATAATTTTCACAATGTTTAAAAACATTTTCAAGGTAAATTAGGATCATATAGAGTTGAATTAGGAATCTGAGTACTCCTCTCAGCTAGACCCAGAATTCAAAGTCACATTCTTGGTATGATTCAACAAACTCATGATCCATAATGTATAAGCAAATGCTCATGATCTAACTTATCAAAGTCAAACCAATGAGTGACCCTGAATCCCCAAATAATATTGGATTTCAGGTGGGTACGGGGATTACTCTCACGGCAAATGTGCATACCACTTCTAAGTGGATCCCTAGAAGAGTCGTATTTCTCATGCTTTGCAACTATTTATGCACATGATATGAGGAGATTTTAAGAGTCAGAGATTTAGGCCAATGCCCTCAGTTGGACCTAACCTTGCCATGCAGGGTTAACCTTCAACCACATATCACCATACGCAAAAAACACTTCACCATGGCCCAATCATGAGGTGTAATTGAGCTCAATAATAATAACAATAACCGACCCTGACTAGGGGCAACCCTGAAACCTCTTGGTACCTCATAAATATATATATATATATCAATCCTCCACATGACTGTCCAAGGGTTTTCATAACTCTGTGTCCCAATGCGTCAAGATTCTAGAGTCATGTCGCTCTTTTTTTTTATTGTAATCAAGAGCAATACACGTCCGTTTTATAAGTCCCTCAAAAGCCACAACTCCAACACCAATCTAGATCATG